TTTAAGCACTGGAACAGAGGGAGTATGACTCAACAGCATTACTTATGTGTGTAAAAAGAAAAAAAAAAAAGACGGTCTTTGAAGAAAATGGCTGTAAAATATTGCCGAAATGATAGAAAGGTTATTGGGATTGTGACCAACTTTCGCATGAGTCCACAATTCAGGAAAGTTTTTCTGTTGCCAGTGGTAATATTTCTCATACTGAAGAACACAAGTCATTGTACACCATGTTCACCCCTCATGGCAGTGCACTTATACCAGGGAGGTAATTGTCCCTATATGCTTTATTAAAAGATATGAATGTGATTATATGTACCTGTAAAACTCTCTGAATAAGAGGGCCTGCCCCTGGTCTCACTAATGGCCCAGCATGTGCATTCTGAGTCAGCCATTTTGTTTTCTGAAAGTCTGGTGTATCTGAGACTGTGCATCAATCTGCCTTTTCCTGATTTTCCAAGCAACCATGGATGTTGTAGTGATGGGGACCACACAAGTCCCTAAATAAATAGACAGTATATTATATTGGTACGATATATACAGTATTGTACAGTATATTATATTGTACAAATTGACAGCTCGATGTTTAGAATTTAAGTGGCTAAAGTTCAGCAACTGTAAGTAGGATTTTCAAGATCACCTATGTGACTCTTTCTTAATAGGTCGAAAAAAGCACCTATTCACTTACTTAAATCTTTTTGAAAATCTCACCCAAAATTTTCTAGATTTAGGCACCCAAATAAAAATGACTTGATTTTTCACAGATGCTGAGCAAATGAGGCTCCCGTTAACCTCACTGTGGATACATAATCAAGCTAATATCAGATATCCAAATATGGCTTTAGTGATCTCACTTTAGCTAACCTGAGTTTGAATTTTTTTAAATAAGATAATAAGTACAATAAATACAGCATAGCTCTGAACCTTCTAAGTGTGACTATGTACCATGTAAGCTGGATTGTGCTTCCTTGTGGACAAATGGGTGAGACAAGATCAACGGCACGTTTAATTCAAATTAATTGATAGCAACCAATCTAATCGATATAAGAGTAAAATCCAGTATTTGTATAGCAAGACATTTACAGTTAGCAGCGTAGCATGTTGGAATGCTAGTTAAGAAGTGCTGTTTTTCAACTTGTTGGACTAATGGTTTATTCATATAGACTTATAAATATTTCTCTCTCGCCAGTGTATTTTTAACAATTCCAGACAGTAATGTAAACACACTTTTTTTTTTGGTTGGGAACTAACTAATGTTTCAGTTAACGATATAATGTGTAATGATCTGCAAAGATAATTTTCAAAAATATACATTATAATGTTTTACATTTTGCAAACATTTAATCTCACAACCTACTTACAAAATAGTAAGAGATCATTTCAGTATTATCATCCCCTGTTGGGAAAACTAAGGCAAAAAGCTCTTAAGAGAATTGCCCAGGCTCATCCAGTGAGTTGGAATTCCGCCTGTAAAAGTCCTGACTCTGTCTAATGCTGAAAACTTAGACAATGCTTCCGATATGCATCCTCCATAATATGTTATCTGCTCTATCTTATCAATTCAATTATTCCTTATTCGTGATAGGACTCTTTAGATTAGTATTTCTACTGATATTGGGCATAGGAGTAGCATTTTCTTACATTTGTTTTGAGCATTTTTAGACAATGACACAAGACTGTATTTTCAACAGCAGCTGCTAATATCATGGTCTGAGTTTTTGGTACCTAAGGGATTGTCCATACAAACAGTTAGATTTACTCCCTAGCTTGTCATGAACTATCTCGCACTAGCCTGCTGTGCACCAACTGTCTGTGTGGACTCTGCTACGATGCACTAAAAGTGCCTTAGTGTGCTTTGATCTGCCAAGCTTTGAAATGGGAACAGATCAAAGCACGTTACATCATTTTTAGTGCACAGTAGCGGAGTCCACACAGACAGTAGGCGCACAGTGGGCTAGTGCGAGGTAGATTTATACCCAGCTTGCCACGTGCTAACTGCTTACAGAGGCAGGCCCTAAGTTTTCAGGTGTACAGTTTTTCATGCTTAAGTTTTTTCTGGGGGTGATGCATATACAAGTAAGGAATATTTGTGTGTTTGCAAATACGACCTGCATGCACGACTCCATGCTTTTGTACACGCAAAACTTTTTGATGAGGGAAAAAATGATGCATACAAACCGCACGCATGCACAGCTTCAGAGAAGTGGGTGAGGCTCTGGAAATGTTGGCAGTGTCAGAAGTGTAATGATGATTTTCCTTTTTTTGGTCTCTAATTTGAACTGCTGACTATTCTACCTCGCTGTGTCATATCCGGTTTGTGGTTGTCTTCCTGTAACCACAAGAGGCATCAGTTGGTAATTTGGCATGTCGGAACAAAATCTCAGGCTTTAAAACATTTGACTGACAGGAATACCATGAGTGTTATAAAGGAATAAGGGGCATAAAGCCAAATCAGACCTCTCAACTGGCTGAGCATTCAGCACCTTGTAAATTCTTGTTAGATTCTAGCATCATGTAGATACGGAGGAATGGTAAAGATGTAATAGGCTGGTTTAAAATATGTTTTCAAGGGGGAGGGTTCACTGAATTCACATTCTGGTGAGACAATCATTCACTTAAACTTCTGCTTCTCTACCAGTACCTTTATAATTCAATGTGAAGCACCTCTGTAATCACATATTATGCAGCAAGGTATCCTAACATATGAGATGGTATTTAATAAATGTGTTTACAGCTAGAGTTATGAGTGAATGTATTTTTTCAGTGGTGCCATAATCATAAAAAAAGAGAGTGTGAGCGGAAAAAAGAGAATGAAAAGGCATTTCTTTTTAGCCTCAGATTTTTGGCAAACACAAATGGCCGTTTTTGTAGGTGTAATTTGTCCTTTGGCCATGAAAAACTGCTTTTTAAAAAAAAAAAATTGTAAACTTTTTTTTTTTAATCAAGAAAATGGCAAATTTCCCTTCTGTGCTGTTGGATTTTGTGCTGTCTGCTGAAAGCTGCTCCTCATTCATGTCCTTGGAGACTGACTAAATCAAGTTAACCTCCACCCTCTGCATTTCTCATGTATATTCAGCACACTTTATGTTAAGGGATCACCATTCTGCTTTGAGCTGGCAAATCTAAAGCTGTTTCCTTTCCTGGTCTGCGCCCTAAAAGGTCTCTGCATTTTCCTGAGCAGTGGTAGATTTTCAGATTGGTGCAGCAAGGGACAAAAATGCAAAACCTCGTAAGTGAGATGGGGCAGTTTAAGCAATAATGGAGTTTGTGTTTGGAAGCGAACCTCTAGACAGGATTACGGATACAACAGTATCCTTCAGAGTCTCTCTAAAATATTCGAGACTTTGAATGCTTCAACAGAGTAATGCTGGCTTTAGACGTTGCCTTGGCTTTGTTCTAGTTGGGTTGAAGTATGGCATTGAAACATGCCTCATAAGGGAGATAGCATGGCCTAGTGGATAAGGCACTGGAGTGGGAGTCAGGAGCTTTAGGCTTGGCTTTTCAAAGGAGCCCCAAATGTAATGTGAGTTGGGTCCCTAGTTTTTCCCCTTTGAAAAATCCCAGTTTCAAGTTCTATTCCTGGTTCTGCCACTGACGTACTGTGGGATATGGGCAAGTCACTTCGCCTCTCTGTGCCGTCAGAAACAGGAATTGTTTCACAGACGTTCTATGGCCTGTGTTAGCCAGGAGGTTGGACCAGATGATCATAATGGTCCCTTCAGGCCTTGTGCTCTATGGAGCTGTAAAATGAGGATAATGAAGCTTGAACTGAACTGACCCTTTGAATTAGAACACTCTTGATTTGGGGAAAGTTCAGATCTAAACTGGATTTTGCAGCTTGGGCTCATCTCTGATGACTAATAATAAAAACCTTCTCTTCATAAAAGTCTCCGCTCTCTGCCCACGCTTCTCTATGAATTTGTGCTTCCAGTGGTTGATTCCTGAAGGGACAGCAAAGACGACAAACCAAGCAATAAACTGAGCCTCTCACTTCTAAGCCCTGCAACATAGCAGCAAAACGGTTAAGAGAAATGACGCAAAGCTGATAAAATGCCAAAAATTCCTCATTCTTCTGCGACGGGGGAGAGGGAAGGTTGTCTGGAAAATGTCAACAATAAAAATTACATTTAAATGGTATATGATGCAGCCAGCTACTGTGGGCAGAGTTATGTGCAACCAGATGAGGAGACTTTAAAGCCCCATGTGGTACCTGCTGCTTTGTCTGAAATTTGCTTCTGGTTTTTTTGCTGCTCGTGTCAGTACTGAAGGGCACAAAGTCTGAAAGTTTTGCTAACCAAACCAGCAGATCCCAAAGGGAGTGGAACCAGCATCTTTTGCTTCTCCGTATAGAACAGGCCAGCTCCTTGCCATTCACAGGCAGCTTGGGGCAGCAGTGTTTGTGGCAAGGAATAAGGATTTTGAAAAGATGGGTGGGGGTGGGGACTCACTCTCCCATTAGAGATGAATGGGCCCCCTGGGACAATGATAGAGAATAAGCCTTGCACCAAGATGACAGGCGGGGGTGGGGTGGGGAGGGGGGTAATGTTTTGGCACTAAAGGCAGCACCCAATATAGGCACTTATTTGTAACATGAGTAAATATAGTGCTTGTGAAGGGCTGCTGGACTGAGACAAGCATAAAGGCGAGCTGCTGAGTTAGCTTCCCCAGACAGGTTTGTCAATACAGCTCAATCCCAATCTGCAGAAAATCTTGACACTCCAGGGATTCCCCATACAGCTCTGTAAATACACCTTGGTCCTGATCTGTAGCCCCCATGTTTCCCTGCTCCTTAGCTCCACAGGCAGATCCACTGATGCACCACAGTCCTGGGTGTTATTAAGTACAGTAATGTATTTCTAAAGCCTGTTTCTGGATTGCACACCAATCTGTTATATTTATTTCTCTCTGAAATCAAAGCACACAGCTGGAGCTGTTTTATTCCATTATTGATGCCAACTGAATGGTTATGACTATTTTAACAAACTTTTTTATTTGTTTTTCAGATTATTCTTAATTCGATGCATAAATACCAGCCGAGACTGCACATTGTGAAAGCAGATGAAAACAACGCCTTTGGGTCTAAGAACACAGCGTTCTGCACACATGTGTTTCCAGAGACATCCTTTATATCGGTGACCTCCTATCAGAATCACAAGGTACGGTGCTTTGCAGCAAAAGGTGCTTTAGCTTTGAGTAATTTTTGCAGACCTGCACTGAAGACTGAAACGAACTGATGGGAACAAGCACAGTGTTACCGTTATGGGCACTGAGGAACAGTGTTTAATGATGCAGTTGTGCAGCAGGAAATGGCCAAGCACAGCGATTGGTTAGCAAGACTGGTGAAGCACAGGATGCATGAAAAATGTATTGGGTAAAAATATCTTGGCAATCTCCACCAGTATCGTAACTAATGAATCTGAGAGCTCATAAATGCTCAAATGTCATTCACAACAGCAAGCAAATCTAAGAGTGACCAGTAAAGCTGGCTCATAAATCTCCAGTGAAAAGTAATTACAGTATATATATTTAGTGAGACATATAAGGAATGTGACCATAAAAATGCAGCTCAGAGCCTGACTTGTGGTTAGGACATGAGGGAAGGTGGGTTTGTGTGTGCATGTTTTGTTTTTCAGGGAATATAAAACTCGAAGGGCTCACTTCAGCTGCACGTAATGGATTATCATATAGTGGAGGGGTTGGAGCAGGAGGGGACTGACTAAATTTGGTGTGGTCCCATCTGAAATGGGGGAGAAGTGGAAGGTGCCCAACAACATATGAAGAGAAGAGGAGTGAGCTGATTGGAGAAGAGAGAGAGGAATGTGACCAATTACTTAATACACATTCTTTTACTCTATCCCCCCCCCCCCTTATTTAGCCCTTGGAGACCATGTCAGTGTAAGCTGAAGCTGTCCAGAGATGGAGCAGGGGGATCATATTCTTACACAAACGGCCCTGTCATTCCCAGCACATTCGTTCAAACAGGTTTTCCTGCAGCACCAGGAATGCACGTCCAGGGGGGCTTGTTGCATTTGTAACCTGGGCAGAGGCAGTGCTAATGGGGAAAGAACGCTGGGGCAGACGTGTGATTGGTTATCTGAGGCGGTCTCCTCTCCCGACGAGGCCACCAAAACAAAGGGGGAGGAGGCAACAGATTTTGAGACTTTGTAATCACCAGGCCGGCTAGACAACGGCGCAGCCAGTCAGCTGCCACCTTCCCACGGCTCTCAGCAGTGCGTGCAGGAGCAAGAGCGGGGGCTAGAGAATTCGGCCTCCTAGGTTCTATTCCGAGCTCTGCTAGCGATTTGCTGCTTCTATGCTATAATTTTCCTATCTGTAAAATAGAGATGAGGATACTTGTCTCCCTCCAGAGGGATGTATTAGGCTGAACTGAGTTTTGTTAAAGGCCTGCCTGTGTCAGTGAATGTAAAATCTGCACTGTACATCAAGATATAGACTCCTCCTACAGAAGGAGATTGCCCCAACCATGCCTCCTCCCCTTTGGTCTGTTTAAATCTTTTCCTCATAGGAGTAGGAGTCAGTTTTATTTTGCATTTGAAGGCCGGACTCCTATGCAGTTACTGAGCCAGGGCAAAGAATCACAATAGAAACATGGCTGTGTGTGTCAAAGTAAAACGGGCAAAAGAGAGCCTTAGCTGAACGCTAATATGGATCCTAGCTACCAACCTGTGACTGTAAATGTGAAATGACCAGTAACCCAAACACGGTTAACCAGAAACACACTGAAGAGCTTGTTTAATAGCTACTCGTAATATTTTACAGCAGTAGCGCCTTTCCTCCTGAAGGAGCCCTATGTGCTTCATAAATGTGATACTTACAATATAACTGACATGCAGCCACTTCTGGGGGGGAAGGCTGGTAGCTAACGGCTGTACAGCACACAACATAGTGATGTGGCTGGAGGTAAATTCACCAGGACCAACTGTTAGGAGCCAAGGGATCTTTGTGGCCAGATTTTCAAAAGAACTCAGCCTGTAGCAGTTATATGGAGAACTATCACAGCTGCGGAGAGCTGAGCTTTTGAAAATCTGACCTTCTCCGCCCATGCCAGTGACCGTCATGACAGAGTAAAACAAATAGAACTCCATGTGCCTTCCAACAAGGATAAAGGGCTACCTGGCACTGCCTGGATTTTAACCTGACGACCCCCAGAGCCTAGGTAGTGCAGACCTGCTGCACAGCAGCATGAGAGGACTAGGAGCCAGCGACTTCTGGGATCTAATCTCCGCTCTGCCATGGACTCAGTGTGTGGCCTTGAGCAAAACCCCACCGTGCTAACTAAATAATACATTCTTCATTAGAAAAGCAACCTTTCTGGTATAGATAATGAAACCCCCGGAACCACAGGAATTGCACATCCTCTTTTTAAAAGTCTGTTTTCCAGATTTCAGCCAATTGCCAACCTCCTTGGCTTAAGAAATATTCAGCTAGCCTGAGGTGCACTTATTAATAACAGCAGCTTCTCTGAAAGAGAATCAAGAACTTGATTTCACTGTTGAATATGAAGTTGAAATGAGCATAACAACACTGAGTAAAATCCCCAGCTCCACGCCGCCCACACACAGGTCTAGGCAGTAGAGCTTTCTTGGTATATTTACCCCAAACTTCCCTTTTGGGGCAGCTGCAGGCAGGGGTGAAAGCCTGGTTCTGTTGAAGTCAGTGGCAATACTCCCGTCCACTTCAGTGGGGCCAGGATTTCACCCTACGTGCCAAAGGTTTTGCACTGAAGTGGGGGGAACTTTCAACCCCAAAGCATTAATATGTGAGCTCCCATGTGTCTCTACCTAACAGTAGTCTCAAATGACTTTGAAGAAAAAGAATAACAGGAACACAATGGAAAATATTATTTCTGCTGCCAAAAGGGGCTTGTTTAAAAATGTGTTGTGACTGAAGCAGAACCAAGTCAGGCTGCATGTTACAGCAGCAAAGAAATTAAATTAAGCCTTACGTGGCTTCATGTTGGTCTGTTGAGGGGGAAGGCAGGCAAGGCCCTAAGCGTCTTGTGGTTCCTCAGATGGCTGTTAGGCTACTAAAGAATCTACTAGTGAATCAAAGCAGGGAAAAAGAGAGCACTGACTCCATCCAAAATGGAGCCAATAATATCATGCTAGGCTCAGTTTACAGTCTGCATGGAGCAGATCCTGACAGCTATTGAAAGTGGCATCCGATGCTGGCTACTTTCATGGACTGACACATCCCTTCTTTGATCACAAATACCAGCCAATCCATTATGCTGGGGGAGAGAAGCTCTTTTATAATCTTCGTTCTGTTCGGTAAGGGATAATTTTTAAACCGTTATTGAAAGTACAGATGCTAATTAGCGTAACATTTTTGGAAATTATTTGAAAGAGCCAAATGCTGGATGGTCTTGCCAGAAAACCCTTAGCCAGCCAACAGCAGGGTGGGAGCTGGCTACCTGGATTCTGCCTCATGGCAGAGAGAGAGAGAGTACATGGTAGGACTGGCTGGAGTTCAGGGCTGCGGTATATGTGTACGCTCCCTTCACACCAGCAATAGCCTTTGCACATTGTCACTCCCTCCACCTGGAAATTATTCATATGTTCATTTCCAATCAAATGCATGGGGACAAGAGGTTGAGTGTTGGTCTTGTGTTACCATAACAGCAAATTAACTCAGGGCCATCTGTCTGTCTAGGGTATTTCTTAGACTTGTATAAAGTTGGCATCAAAGAGGGGGTAATGTGTGTGCTGGGGGTGCCTGCACATACCCTTTGGGAAGAGATGCATTATGCCCACTTCCAGAGCCCCTGCGTCAGTATTCTGATAAATAATCTGGTGGTAGTTATTTTAAATATCAGTTTTCAGTGGGTGGGAAGAAGAGGAAGAGCATACAGTTGTTACTATGTGTTTGGAGGAGCTGAGGGGAAGGGCCTGGAAGAGATGAGGCTAGGCAGGCTGCGTCAGAGAAAGCAACCCTTGAGAATAGTTATTTTCCAAAGGTTGGGGCCTTTCATCTGAGCATGTGGCAAAGATTCCACCACCGTGGCCCATTGTTGCCGTAACATTTGAGATGTACATTGGGTTTGATAAACACAATAGCAGTAAACAGGGTCTCTTCCCCATGGAGCTGACAATGTTAACCAGTAGAAGGCAAAAACTGAAGGATCAGGCACAAGAACAGTGTGGAGGGACTTGGAAGGCCACCCCTATGAGCTTCAGGGTGAATAGCAGGAAGAAACAAAGCGTGCACAAAAGCAAGAGAATTGAGAGAGCAGGGGCGGGGAGAGTAAATGAATGTAGAGATTTGTGGGGAAACTTGATGAGGAGACTGAACTTTATTACAAGAGGGAAAAGTTAGGAGACAGCCGGAGAACCCAAGAACATAGATGACGGGAAGCAGAAAAATTAAAGGAGGGTGGGAAAAACCCTGATAAGATTCAAGTGTTCTGTGTGGGCGCAGGCAAGAGGAGGAAATATAGAAAGACCAACTAGCAAGTGTGAACTGCAAGCCCTAATGCCAGTGAGGACATCACTGACGAAAGCTTTATAGCCTTGTAATTCACAGTTGTTTAGCATTCAGTCTCTATTGCTTAAATATTTTTATTTCCTTGGTATCATGTTACATGTGATCCACAAGAGAGGAGCTCCTGAGGCCAGGGATGGTGCAGTAAACCTGGAGATGAGCTCTACCTTACTCCTGCTGAAGTCACTGGGAGTTGCGCCATTGACGCAGCAGCAGGCCCAGGCCCTTTACCATTGTTTTATAGGGATGGGTTTCAGTTTTTAAAACACACATTTCTTTGACATGTTTGCTGCCCCCACGTCTTCAGAGCCACTTAAAGTTGGTATTAACCAAAGTGGTTTGAGTGTCATTGCTCCAGGGGCTGCTTCAAATCAGTAGGAAAGTTATTAAAAGCTCTTTCCCATGCAAAGCATCCTTCTTCGCATGACCTGCTAGATGCGGGCGGGCGTGCGCACACAAGGCTGCTAGCTGTGTGTTGTATAAGGAGTTTTATTGTTCCTTGAGGAAACATTTAAGGTACTGGCATGAAAGTTACTGCCAGATGACTTTGGGGCAAACTCCTCTCTGCTCAGACTATGGGTAAAATTTTCAACCCCCCGCCCCCCCGTGGCAGGTCTACTGATTCACCCTTGCAACAGCAGTATAGGTGTTGGGGCTTGAGCTAGAGCCAAGGCTCTGAGCCCTTCCCTGCTCACTGGGTCTCCGAAATCAGCCCAAACATCTACACAACTATTTTTAGCTCTGCACCATAAGGCTAAGGGTTTTTTTTTGTGTGTTCCCTACATTACAATGGTGTAAACCCAGGGAAGGCAATAGCATCATTCCGGGTTTAACAGCTCCAAGGCTGGCTGAGTTTTTTTCATCAAAGCCTTGTTTTCACGAATATCTTCGGCAAATCCAGGTTATGATCATTTTTAATTAAGTTGAAATACAGGGGGGCAGAAGCATGCCTTCATGAACTGAAAAGCCTCCATCTACTTGCGCATGGTTATGGTTTTAGCAACCGGAGGAAAAAACAGCTTGTGTAGAATTTCTAGTGCTCCTGCCTGAAAAAGCTGAACGATGTGGATTGTGGTGGTTTTCTAAAAGTCCAAGCAATCACTGTCACTCATAGAGGCGCTGAGCCAAACAACTACCATCAGACACAAGACTCCACAGTGCAACGGCTTCGGTGTACAAGGTTGGATGTATCACCCGGAGTTTATCATCATCAAGTGTGAGTTTAAGCCTGAATGGGGCCCTGAGGGGTCACCACGGAAAACGCCAGGTGCTGTAAGAATTAGGCTTGGTGACGCCATAGCTACTGAAACACCATTAGAACAAATTACGTGGGAAGGCAGAGCTGGTGGGACTGCAATCCCTTGAAGTCTTTCACTCAGCTGTCTGGCTTAAAGACAGGCTCTACTGCAACTATCGTCTGCTTGATGCAGAAATTACCAAGTGAACGTTTAAGGCCTGTGTGATGGCAGCGGAGATGACCATAATGGTCCCTTCTGACCTTCATCGGTGGATGTCTGTGTGCCTTTCCCCAGAGGTGGGCTTGGCCCGGCCCTGTGCTGGGGGAGATGCCCTCTTTCTTCAGCAGTAAAACTGAGTGCCTGATCATTTCTGAGCCTTAAGGATTCCATAGCACTGTTTGCAAAGATAGAGGGAAAGAGTGAGCACCTTTGGTAGCTCTAGTCTGTCTCCATAAACTCTTCCTGATGTAGCTCTTCTTCACTCAGCGGTTGGCTAGCGGTGCTGTGCACTTGTTAGATAGCAGGGTATGTTGCTGCGTATTTGCATAACATGTTGGGTGAAGTGATTTCTGTGTACATATAGTTTATAAAGGAGACACATTAAATTAAGTGATTACTAAGGGCTTAAGGGGATTTAATGGATTTGCTCTGAGTGTTAATGTGAAATTTCCCAGCGTCTGAAGCCCTTCCCGCCATCTCTTCATAAAAAACGTGTTAAAAGAGACTGTAGTTTAGAGACGACCCTGCAGCACAACACTCTTTCCTATGACTTTGCTTGGGTGCGGTTTTAATTTCATGTGTGTGTTTGCGGAGGGCGGGGGGGATGAGAGATGTGGCTTGTTTACTTGTGTTTTTATTGGAGTGGAATATTTTTAAATGAAATTTTACACCAGGCCCCATAACTTCCTCTAGTTTGTGTTTTTTATTTTTTGCAAAATTTTCATGAAGTTATAGAAATGGATCTCAGGCTGAGGGGTTTGGATCACTGTGGTGGACTTAGTCTCTGGAGAAGGCTAGCCTATTTCTGGATAACAGCCACTATAAAGCAGTAGTAATTCTTCTCAGCCGTAAGGGAAATGGCTAGAACAGAGGGGGGCAAACTACGACCTGCGGGCCACATCCAGCCCGCAGGACCCTTCCCTCTGGCCCCCAAGCTCCTGCCAGGGAGCGGGGTCAGGACAGGCTTGCAGAGGAGCCAGCCCAACTCCCCGGCACCATGGTGGAGACTAGCCCCTCGCAGTCACAGTTCCCCGAGCACCTGGGCAGCGTGGCTGCAGCTCCGGCCGGGCAGCACGGTTATAGCGCGGCCAGACTGGGTGCCCAGGGCAGCAAGGTCAGGGGGAGGTCGGGGACGGTCAAGGGGCCTGGGCCCTGCTGCCGGGGACAGGGGCAGAGCAAGCCAGGGCCCCCGTCCACCTCCAGCATGCTTGGTCTCTGTCCCCAGCAGCCAAACCCAGACAGGGAGCGAGCCCTGCCCGACTGCCAGGGAGAGCAGCCAAACGAGCAGGGAAAGGACTGAGCCCTCCTTTCCCCCACCCCACAGGTAATGTGGGGTGGGGAGAGCAGGGAGGGTTGGATAGTCAGGGGGTGTGGAACAGGGGAGATTGGATAGGGGTGGGGGTCCTGGGGGTGGTCACTGAATAAAAACAGTCAGTCCTAACTGAGGTCAGGTGCTAACTGTGCCCTAATCTCAAGCCCAAACTGTCTGCCTTCAACCCTGGGGAAGGGGGGTGGGGAGAAAGGCCTTTGGGGAAAGTTCAGCTCCAGAACCAAACTTTGCAGCTCAGGCCCCTCTAACTTTCAACTAATCCAGCCTCTTCTGCCATAGCATCTTTAGGTGACTGAAGCGGTGCAGGAAATAGCTGCTGAACGCCACTGGATGCTGCTTTTTTACACGTATCTTTTCAGATCTACAAACCTAGTCCCACAACCATACACGTGGTTCTGATACACTATTAACTGACTCCTTTTTCGTTTCATTCTTTTAAAGATAACCCAGCTGAAAATTGAAAACAACCCATTTGCCAAGGGATTCCGGGGAAGTGATGACAGTGATTTGCGTGTGGCCCGGCTACAAAGGTGTGGATAAAAAGAGCAATGAGATGGCAGCTGTTTAGAATACAGTATATGGTTCTAACAGCTGCAGCCAGAGAGCTTTGATGCAATGTGTGTATGTATTCAATGCAGTATGTGTTTGCATTCAGTGGGGTTTGTGTGTGTGTTCCAATCCAATAATATATGGTAACAGGACTTTGGGAGAGCAAATGTGGGCTTATGATTAGGAGCAAGGGGCTCCAGGGTTCTAAGCCTAGCTCAGCCGCCCATTTGCACAATTCTCAACCTTTCTGTGGCTCAAGCTGTGATACAGTTGTTATAATACTCACCTACCACCACAGAGTGGTTGTGAAACTCAGTTAATTCTTTTTTTTAAGTAAAGTGCCTTGGAATCCTTGGCTGCAAGGTGCTATCGGAATGCTAAAGTAGTAGCGTTTTGTCCTGCAAGGGCTGACTGCTGTCTAACTAGTAAATAACTTTTCTCTCCTGCAGCAAAGAATATCCAGTGATTTCCAAAAGCATCATGAGGCAGAGGTTGGTTTCCACTCATGGCCAGCTTTCAACAAAAACAGATGTCAACCCACTCCATGGGAATCACCAGACCCTTCAGCATTATCAATATGAGAATGGTGCTCACATGCCGTTTGCTGCTTCGGATACTCAAGATCTACCACTCAACACCTTCACAGCACAGAGAGATTCAGGGCTCTTTTATCACTGCCTGAAAAGAAGAGGTAACAGACCTTTACAGATTTTCCTCCATATACTTGGCACCTTTTCCTGTCTCTCCAGGGCCAGGAGAGCTGTGCTGGTCTATTGCAAAGCACTTCTGATTGGATAGCATTTTGAGCACAATCCTTCAAGGTGCTCTGCACCTGCTGCCTTCATTGCAAGTTATGAATGCTCAGTGGTTTGCCAGAATATTCAGGCCCTGAAAACAATGTTAAGATGCTAAGGGAAGTGATATTTTGGAAGTCTACATTCATGATGCAATTTTTTAATGTAGGAAATTCAAGTACTAAATTATCGGAGCTCAAAATATAGCCTACAAGCAAATCCATTTATACTCTAAATCTGTGCCATTTGTCTATGCACTTTAAATGTGTTCAATGAAGTGCATCAATTTTATAAGAAAGGAGACTCTAGAAACAACTCTTATGACACACTAGACCTCAACTCTACCACCTTTACTCACACTGAGCAGTACGTGTGAATAGTCTCACTGAAACAAACCCAGTACTCCTCATGGAATAAAGTTCAGGTCATCAGAAAGGTGACAGGATATTGCCATCAGTGATTTATTATGTATCATGTCTATAGTGCCACAGTGGTTATGGTGCTTTACAAACTCACATTTGCCACCTTGAAGAGCAGGTGAAGGGCCTGATCCAAAGCCCACTGGAATCAGTGCAAGTCTTTCTGCTGATTCCAGAGGGCTGGAGATTAGCTCTAAGTCCTGATCCTGCAAACGCTATTGAGAGTAGTGCTTATTACCCTACTTACTGTAGTCCAAAAAAAAAAAAAAAAAAAGACAGACTCAGGCCCTAAAATAGAGCAAGCAAGCAAAGCAGATCATCATGGCATGTGTCTAAAGGAGTGAGATTATGTTGGTAAATTAAACAACAGTTACAGATGTCTATTTATATTCTTAATCAGAAAGTTTATTCAACTGAGGCCTGATCCTGAAATGGGCTGAGCTCCTCCAACTGCCATTGAGATTATTGGGAGTTGTAAGTGCTCGGCACTTTTCAGAATCAAGCCTTTAGTAAGTTTGTTAATGGTGGTCTATTTTTGATTACAGGAGCTAGCTGTAGACATTTTCTTTGCCTGCTGAGCCAGCTTTTAAATGTAACCAGCCTTTAAGTACACACTGCTCCCTTCAGACCAGTATCAGATGGGATCATGTCAGATTCTTTTGTTTTTAAGCTAAATGGAAGGGCTTTGCAGAGAAAAATCCTTATACTACCATGTCTCATTTGCTGCTAATTAATCTCAGCCTTGGTGAAAAGTTAAAGACACAGGTAATAAGAACTGCAATGCAAAACTTTAATATCTGCTGGGAGAGTTGCTGCTTCTCCTACAGTAAATAATAGTTCCTAATGATAGAATGCTGGTAAACCACATACGCAGAACTCAAAGTCCATTGAAAGGAGACAGCTTCTCCAGCACATAGCAGAAATCCTTACCAGAGCACTCTCCCTTGGTTTTATCTTGAAATATTTCTGCAGCCCTTGTCATGAATACCTGGTAAATGTATAGTAATTTTTGTGAGGACAGGAAGAAAGGTTGCGATAAGACATTTTAAAAGACTTCTTGAATTTGTCAGAAGAGTCGTGGTCCTCAGTTATCTGGATGAATGAAAAGTAATCTCTAGCTGTAAAAGTAGTAGCCCAGGTCATTTATTTAAGCTGATAAACGTAGCCAAAAAATGCTTTAAGGCTGATTGGATTAGACTAACATTAACAGTGTAATGCCTTTTTAATATTAAATATTGTTTTTCAAAATGAAGTAGCTTAACTGGATTAGCCTGAATAACAATGCAAGTAACCCAGTAAAATGATTGTAAGATTCACATACTTTTAAGGAGAATCCATAAGCTTTCCAAGGGCTTGACAATGTAATGTTAAATGCTGTTACACAGGCACCCTTTCCCTAAATGCTTATTTCTTTGTTCACAGAAAGTGCTCGGCATTTAGACCTGCCCTGCAAACGCTCCTATCTGGAAGCCTCCTCTTCTGTAGGAGAAGATCATTATTTTCGTTCGCCACCTCCATATGACCAGCAAATGTTAAGCCCTTCCTATTGCAGTGAGGTGACACCTAGGGAAGCTTGTATGTACTCAGGTTCTGGGGCTGAAATTGCAGGTGTCTCAACAGTCGATGACTTGCCACCTCCTCCCCCTCCCCCTTTGAGCTGCAATATGTGGACTTCTGTTGCACCTTACACCAGCTACAGTGTTCAGACAATGGAAACTGTGCCTTATCAGCCTTTCCCTGCTCATTTTACTACCACCACCATGATGCCAAGACTCCCCTCTATCACAAGTCAAAGCTCACAACCACCAGGTAATAGTCCCTTCAGTGTCTACAATCAACTGTCACAGTCTCAGGTTCGGGAGCGAGTTCCTCCCTCATCCTTCCCGAGGGAAAGAGTGCACCCATCTGTTTGCGAGAGGAAGCCCCCATCTCCGCACTTAAACACAGCAAACGAATTTCTGTACTCACAAAGCTTTTCACTCTCGAGGGAATCTTCATTACCATACCATTCAGGAATGGGGACTGTGGAAAACTGGACTGATGGATGATTCTAAGGAACAAAACAGCTAGTTTTACTGCTCCTGAACAATGTTACTTCAGTGTTAATTCCTGTGGGTAACTTGCACTTCAGTGAAACCTACACACATGTACATTTCCAAAGGGTGTGTGTGTGTGTGTGTGAGTGTGTGTATGAGGCATTTGTATCTTTACACACATACAATTCAATGGAAATAACAATTCTGTACAAAGTAACTCTCGGATCAATGGCCTGGATTCACCAATCTTTTCTAAATTAATTCAGTCCTACTGGCCCCTAAGAACCATCCGAATGACTAAAATGTGATGGCTGGTCCTTTTTCTTTGTTTAAAACAGCAGATTTTGGGGGAAATTATTACCCTTTAATTGTTATGGCTCTATGACTTCATGAGCCACAAAAACTAAGACAAAAGAGCATATAGTCCAACGTCTGTAAGTCAGAGCTCTTTTCATCTAGGATTGTTTCTTTTTCTATCCTCAGCAGTGGATAAGCATTATCAGCCAGTTTATAGCCAGGCAAGCAGAATCTCAGTGAAGTGACTTGCCCATGTCATCTGATTCCTGGTTCCGTTTCTCCCAGACACTGCATCATACCGATTCCTTGCAGTATAATGGCTTGAGATTTGTCCTGTCTAGTTTTAAATGGCTCTAGAAATGGGGGATACTATTTCACAGTGTAATAGGCCCTAAATACACATTTTCTTTGCACTGAACTGAAGGGAGTTCTTTCAAGGATGATGGAGACAGTGGACCAATTTTTTTTCCCAACACTTAGTGTCTTTTTTAATTAAAGTTGTCAGATTTTGCAATGGACAAAAGTATCAGTGGAGGTGTGAAAAGCTGTGACCAATATATTTGTTGCTAATATTTTTACTGTGGAATTATTTCCAGATGACAAATAGAAGGATACCGCCTTCAATGATCAAAGGCCTGCAAGAATTCATCCATCCATTCATCTAAACGAACAAAAACCCAGCCATTATGAGAAATGGACACTTAGGGGGGAAATTCTGCATTCTTTATTAAACAAAACTCCCACTAATTGCAATTGAATAGTTTTGTTGGGAAGGAATTGCATCTTCCTCTATGTATATAGAAAGAAAAGGAGTACTTGTGGCACCTTAGAGACCAACTCTGAAACCTGTCATTATGCAAGGCACTGAATTTAGCCGTATGGAGTAGAAATCTATCAACTTCATGAAAAAACTTGTTAAATTTGTTAGTCTCTAAGGTGTCACAAGTACTCCTTTTCTTTTTGCGAATACGGATTAACACGGCTGCTACTCTGAAACCTATGTACATAGAGCACATTAATTCTCCAGTCCAATGCAGGACCACCAGCTGTTACTGTAGAACAAATAGAAGGATACATAGAAATAATAGTGGGAGTTTGGTTCAATTAAACAGTACAGAATTTGGCCTTTAGCCATTAATAATTTTGTCCTGTTTGCCAAGCAGTCAATGAATAGGTGGAGGGCAAAAAAAATATATATATAAAAAATTGGAGTCATTTCTGCTCTTTGCTGAATCCATTCCAATGAGGAGAGATTGATGAAGATGATGTTTAAGCTAGACAAGCCCAAGGGCACTGAAGTGAAGGTTATTTTTAGCCAGGACATTCATATCCCATTCAAGAGACAGTATGTGTGGACTTTGTAATCAGATTTGGGAAATCACTACAATTTTTGCATGCTGAATAGCTATTTATATATATATATATATATAAAAAAATATATATATCACAAATGCAGGCCACCTGTCCAATTCAGCTTTGCTTTTTACAAATGAAATACTTAATAAAAATGAATGTTGCGAGGGGTTTTTTTTTTTTTTGAAAGACATCTATTTAAGATTTTTTTAATTACACACTTGCTGTAAAAACTAAGAATTCGTTAGACAAAAGACATATATAACACAGATGAAACCACATTAGATACAGGTGGTGTGGAATTTTTAAATGTTTTGTTACATAGCATGGACATTTAATTTTACATATCAGAACATAAAGCCATTTTATTACTATAAACTGTCTCTGGGTGCATTTCAATAATTGGTATAAAATGTGCTGTGGTAAGTCATTGGACATCTGATCTTTCCCTCTGTCGTAATATAAATCTTACTCTTTCCCAGGCTGCATACTTGACCTTTACCAGCTCTCAGCCTCTCAGTAATATTTTAAATGCCTATTTCAAGGTTTTTTGTCATTTTTTTTTAAATTGAGACACTCAAGCTCTAGAAACAAAGAGTTGACAGTGATAGACCATGCTGCAAAGCACCCATGTTGAGGAGGAGAAGAATCCTTACCCTACATGCAAAATGAAAGCACCAAAATGGTGTATCTTTACATGTCTGAAGGGCATTTATAATTAAAAGCAACATCCCAAGACTTAAGGGGGAAAACGGTAACGGAGGTGTCACTGGACAGAGGCTGAAGTGTACATTTTCATTTGTCATAGTGACACTGAGTCAACACTAGAAGAGACTGGTGCTGCAACCACTTCCTAAAATTTTTGGGGCCCAGGAGCCTACAGTCCCGGTGACCAGCTACTCTGGATTCTTTTGCCTGTTTTACAAATATATTATATATATATAAATAATCCCCTTTTCTTTTGGTAGGAATAGTACCCCTTCCCCTGAACAGTTGTCCTTTCCATTTTAAAACCAGTTACATTCAATGCACTGTGGCTTGTTTCAAGGGATTTGCATACATAGCCCTATCAGTGTGCTACTCTGCTGGGGAATGGGGTACAAGATTAACCTAAGGTTGAAAAGTCCTGCAATATTTGGAAGATGAACACAATGTGGAAGTAATGCTTTCAGACTTCTTGTGTAGGGGCTTCCATTAAAGCAAACATTGAGAGGGGTTGGGAAAAAGCTGGATATGTCTGTTTTCCATTGAGACATTAAGAACCTATGCAAAACTCCCATTACCATCAGTGGAAGTACATTTTTGTAAAGGTTGGGGTCCAAATGTGACACTGAAGCAAGTTGGGCTGAGCTCCGCTGCCTTGAATAGTACTTATGCCAACTCTGAATTTGGCCCTCACTCTAAATACATTAGTCTTACTTACTTAGTCTACAGATTAATACAAACACCAGAAATTAAACAAGCTAAAATTAATTCATGCCAAAAAAACCACTAGTCTGGGATCACTGGCAGCTCACATATTTGACAGAGGCCTAAAGCTGGAATAACTGGGTGTTTTTGGCATATACACACAATGTTTTTTTCCAGGCTCAAATGCCTCTCTACAGTTTGGAATATTTGGGCCTCTCTGTCTTAATTTATGATGTCATTAAATAATTCTTTTTGCAGCTTGTATAGAAAAAAATATTTCTTTTGAAGACGAAAACTCCCCTGGTGGGATGGTTAGAGTGGAACATTCCATTAGGAGAAAAAGTCATCTCTTCATTAGCCAGTCGAGATTCCCCACTGGTCTTTGAACAGCAAGAGATGACAATTTTAGAAAATAAGGGCCTGATCCAGGGAAGTGCTCAGTACCTCCTATAACATGCTGAATTAGTTTGAATGCCCAGTGGGAAGAAAGTACTCAGACTTTGCTGGATGGAGCTCTAAGAGTGCTTGAAGATTTCAGGGAAATCGCAACCTGGCCAACTTGCTGGTGAAGAAAGTAAGGATTTAAAATTTATCTCCCCTCAACAAGCTACAGTGTCACTTTATTAAAAAGGGGGAACATTGGGAACCCTAAGACAAAGGGTCCCATTCAATAAAGAATGTATATTAATCTTAGTAACAGGTTTCAGAGTAACAGCCGTGTTAGTCTGTATTCGCAAAAAGAAAAGGAGTACTTGTGGCACCTTAGAGACTAACCGATTTATTAGTCTCTAAGGTGCCACAAGTACTCCTTTTCTTTAATCTTAGTAAGACACTCTCATGAATGAGTCAGGAGCCATTGTCTCTCTCTTAGAAAGAACAATTTTAGAATCAAGATGTGGAGTCAGATAAGAATTAAATGGGAGTCTAAAACCCACCTTTCTGACTGCTTTAGGGATCGCCTCTCATGCTTAGTGGTGGATTTTGCATCCTAGTTCTGCTTTTTGTTTTAAGATTGTAAGCAAATAGCCAGCTATAAGAGGAGTACTAGGTAAGTGGAAAGGGACTGAAGTGACTAAGAAGTGGGAACTATAAAGGGTCAGCATAATCTGGTTGCCATTTATCTTCAGCCTCAGGGATTGTATACCTAGAGAATTGCACTCATTTAACTTGAAGTGTGATTTTTAAACTGTTTTATTTAGTTAAATTAATGCAAAAGCCTGACACCATTATTGTGATTTAAACCAGGCTTATTTTGGTTTAGTTTAAGTCAATTAGGAAGCCGTTTAAGATAAACCAAATAACCCACTCAAATCAAAACAAGTATCCACTAGAGCTGATAGTGACAAAAGTTGACAACAATGAAATCTTTTTTCTAAAAATCGATCTACAAAAACAGCATTTTAAAAAACTGTTCAGCAATGACAATATTTCAATTTTTAGCTAAAAACTGATTTGGCAAAAAGCCTGAAACATTTAATCAAAAAATAGACATTTCCCCCCAAAATTTCCATTTTGAAAAAAAAGTATTTTTTGTCAAAACATTTTGAATGAAAGAATTTGACCAGCTGTAGTGACCATATAGGAGTATGCACTGTCTTAACTAAACTGGTTTAATTAAACCAATCCAAGATTGTGTGTAGACAAAGCCTTAGACACTGCTCTTGTGGAGTTAAAGAAGCCTTGGACAAAACTCTTCATAGAGAACAACAGGCAAAGAACAACAAGTTTTTTGGTGTATATGATATTCCAAACAAAAATAAATTCTACTTACATTAATGGAGTCCATTGCCAGAAGGGACCACTGTGATCATCCTATCTGTCTTCCAGTTCAAGACTGGCCATAGTTCCTTTTGAACGAGAGCGTATCTGAAAGAAAAAAAAGTTTAAAAGTTCATTTAAAAGTTGCCATTGACACAGAATCTACCTTGTCCCTTAGTTAATTGTTCCAAGGT